TGGAGGCTTGGGTCCCCTCTGTGTGCTGACCCTGAGGAAATACCTCCCAGATTTCACCACAGTGATGCTGGTCTCTTGTTACTTATAGCTGATTTTTCAGCCCCAGCTAACCAGCATCAATTGTCCCAGTAAAGCAAAGGTTTTACTTCAGATTTTGGTCTCTTAATCACAGCTGATTCTTCAGCCCCACCCAACCAGAACCTGCAGATTCTCAATTCAAAATATCACATGAACAGCCCTGATAGTCTCCATTTCTCTTTGAAGCTTCACAAGCCAGGCCTCCATCGTCCACAACTCTTCCAGCATAACTGTTCTAAGCTCCACAGCAACAAACTCTAAGTACACAATGGCTTTTCCAGTCCAGAGTTCCAAATGCTTCCACAATCCTCCAGCATCAGGTCTGTCACAGTAGTGCCCTACTATCTGGTACTAATTTCTGTTCTAGTTTGTTTCTCCATTGCTGTGACAAAACACTCTGACCACTACCAACTTGGGGAGGAAAGGGTTTATTTGTCTTACATCTCCCAGGTCACAGTTCATCAGGGAACCCAAGGTAGGAACACAGGGCCGGAACCTAGAAGCAGGAGCTGGAGCACAGGCCATGAAGGAACCCTGCTTACTGGCTTGCTCCCCTGGCCCCTGCTCAGCTTGCTTTCTTATGCAACACAGGCCCACCTGCCCAGGGGTGGCACCACCCACAGTGGGCTGGGCCCTCTACATCACTCGACAATCAAGAAGATGCCTGTCTTCTGTGCAGAACCTTCCAGTGGTTCCATTTCACTTGGGAGTCTTACTTTGCATCACATGGCCCTATGCATTACATAGGCACCTCTGCTCCTTCACACCTCTTTCTGATCTAGCCATACTGCCCACACCAGGCTAGCTCCCACTTCAGGATCTTTGTACTGTACTGGCTCTTCCCTTTAGCTGGGATCCTTAGTCTCCTAGATGCCCATTTTAAGTATTTGCACAAATGTCCCCTTCTGGTTCATTTTTACTTTTTTGAGATGGTGTCTCAGTATGTAGCCCAAGCTAGCCTGGAACCTCAGTCTCTCAAGTGCGCATCAAAATCACACAGACACACACACAGACACACACACACACACACACCTCTGAGACAAGGTCTTACTATGTTGCCTTGGTTGCCCTGGAACTCATTATGTAGACCAGTTTGGCTTTGAACTTGTAGGGACCCTCTTGCCTCAACCTCCCAAATGCTGGGATTACAGCTGTGCACCACCATGCTTAGCCCAAAATGTTACTTTCTTTTTAGTAAAGCTTCCTTTATCCCCTCCTTTCCCAAACTACCTCCCCAACTCCACCCTACCTGGCTTTATTTTCCTCCAGAGCAGTTATCACCATCCGACATACCCTGTAATTTACTTATTTACTATGTTCGTTGTCTAGGATATCAGCTTCACAGGGCAGGGATTTTTGTCTGCTGTGTTCACTGCTGTGTCCCCAGCTTCTAGAACAGGGACTGACACCCAGGAGGGTGCAGGATGGGGGTGGGGGAAGGGCTGGGTCTCCAAGCACTTTGACTACCAAGCCAGAGAAGCTCATCTGAAGGGGAAAGATGGATAGGACAGGGGAAAGCCTGAATACAGGGGGTGAACAGAGCCAGACCATGAAGAGAGATGGTGGAAGGGGTCTAGGATAAGGTTCCATTGCTGACCTGGGAGCTCGAGGAGCAGTGGGCTGCCCTCGCACGGGCACCAGGGAGGTCACAAAGGGAAGTCAGCAAAGACCAGACTTGAGTACCGAGGAGGCTGAACGCGATCCTGAGGGCTGGGGAGCCCTGTCTTGGTTCTGAACAGGAGTAATATGGATTTATTATGTTTTTAATTTTACTTGTTTTATTAATTTCTATTTTATGTCTATGAATGTTTTGCCTGCATGTATTTAAGTGTGCCATGTGTATGCAGTACTGGCAGAGGCCAAAAGAGGGCATTAGATCTCCTGGAACTGGAGTTATGGATGGTTGTTACTCAGCATGTGGGTGCTGGGAACAGAACCCAGGTCCTTTGCAAGAGCAGCCAGTGCTCTTAACTGCTGAGCCATCTCTCCAGCCTTAGTAATACAGATTTATGAAGATCCCTTGACAACTATGTAGGAGTGGATGAGGGCATGGGAACTCAGAAAGGAAACTGAGGCAATAATGCAGGGCAACAGGACTGGGCCAAGGTCTCCAGTGGTTTCAAGGAGGTGAGGACCCATGAGTAGAGGCTGCCTCCCCTCATCTTTACTCTTTCTGTCCTGTTCTGCAGGCTGGCCTCGGCTCCATCTTCAGGTGTGGTCCCAGGACAGTTTTGGCCGCTGCCAACTTGCCGGCTATGGCTTTTGCCATGTGCCCAGCAGCCCGGGCACTCACCAGCTGGACTGTCCCACATGGAGGCCCCTGGGCAGCTGGCAGGAGCAGCTGGCAAGGGCCTTCGTGGGTGGTGGGCCACAGCTGCTGCACGCAGACACCATCTACAGTGGAGCTGACCGATATCGCCTGCACACAGCCGCTGGTGGCACTGTGCACCTTGATATTGGCCTGCTGCTGCGCCACTTCGACCGCTATGGTGTGGAGTGCTGAGGGACCAGCCTCCAGTAGCCATCCTCCACAGTCCTGGGCCCCCTCCAGTGCAGGATGGCACAGCTGTCACGAATGTGTCCAGACTCGAGACTGTCAGGCCTGACTTCACTCAAGGCATGGCCCTTCTGTCCTTGCTAGGACACATGCCCAGGCTCTCCCTGGAGCCCCATGCTCTGTACTGCGGGGTAGTAGGTCTGTGGGTCACCGGGGTTGCTTGTCACTTGAGGGGCACTCAATAAAAGCGTGCAGGTCTCACGGGTATGGTGCCTCCCTGGACCCTCTGCAGCTGTCAGATGAGATGTCCTCTTGCCCCATCCTCCCACTGACACTCCGTCAGTCTTCTTCCTCCGCCCCTCGCCAGGACGTACTTACAGACCCTCAGTCTGTTCCAGCAGTTCACTCTCTCCAGTCGAGGCCCCCACCTCTACTCTCTCTTCTGTGACCCCAGTTTCTCATGGCGTCCCCATTCCCATTGACCCTTCACCAACCCCCCAAGCCACGGGGCACATCAATCACCCGCTTTGGTAGAGCTCCGCCGCCAGGAGGCAGCACCCGGGTGGTGGGGCGGGGCCGGGGTGCCCACCCCCTCCCCGCAGGCCCGAAGGGACCCCCCTCGGAGCCCGCCCACGCGAGATGAGGACGATGGCCCCCCCATGCCCTCCCCCTGGGGCTGCCCCCGCCCCGAGCGCGCTTCCTGGGTGGGGCCGGGGCGGCTTCAAAACCCCCGCCGCCCCAGCCGGTCCTCGCCGCCGCCGCCCTTCGCGCCCCAGGCCGTCCCCCTCCTCCTCCTCCCGCCGCGGATCTGCCAGACAGCTAGGCCCCCGGCCGGGGCAGGGGGGACGCCCCTCCGGGGCACCCCCGGCTCTGAGCCGCCCGCGGAGCCGGCCTCCGCCCCGAGCCGGTAAACCAGCCGCCGAGGAGCAGTCGGAGGCCGGAGAGTCTGAGACGGGCCGCCGCCGCCGCCACTGCGGGGAGGAGGGGAGGAGGAGCGGGAGGAGGGACGGGCTCGTTGGGAGAAGAGAAAAAAAGTTTTGAGACTTTTCCGCTGCCGCTGGGAGCCGGAGGCGCGGGGACCGCTGGCGCTGTGCTGTCCCGCGGGGACGCAGGACCTGTGGGGACTCCACCGCCCGGCTCGCCGCCGCGGACGCTCGCTCCCTGCACTGCCTGCCCCAGACCCCCCCCTATTCCGGACCAGCCCTCCGGAGCCGCAAGCCCCGCCTCCCGCGAAGACTTCACCCCAAACCTGGGGCGCACCCCCTCACGCCGCCCTCCCCCCAGCCTGCCTCCCGAGTCCCCCGCATCCCAGGACCCTCTCCCCGCCGGGAGGCTGATCGCCCTCAGACCTCCGCAGCGTCCCTATTTAAGAAGACCCGCTTTCTGGTACCAGGTCCCGCTCATTTCGACTTTTTATTCCCCCCCTCCGGTGGGATACTGAGACACCCGGTGTCAGAGCCCCACCGCGCCCCTGTTGCTTTCTCCCTGAGAGCCTCGAGTTATTCCGGAGTCTCCCTTACCTTTCCCCGGGGAGAGCCCCCCACCCCCAGCCCCTGCAGGGGCGGGGCCTCCACATCCCACCTTCGCCCGGTTCGCGCTCTCCGCGGGGCGCCGCCTCCCCCATGCCGCCCTCGGGGCTGCGGCTGCTGCCGCTGCTGCTCCCGCTACTGTGGCTACTGGTGCTGTCGCCGGGCCGGCCAGCCGCAGGGCTCTCCACCTGCAAGACCATCGATATGGAGCTGGTGAAGCGGAAGCGCATCGAGGCCATCCGTGGCCAGATCCTGTCCAAACTACGGCTCGCCAGCCCCCCGAGCCAGGGGGAGGTGCCGCCCGGCCCGCTGCCCGAGGCCGTGCTCGCCCTGTACAACAGCACCCGCGACCGGGTGGCCGGGGAGAGCGCCGACCCCGAACCCGAGCCCGAAGCGGACTACTATGCCAAAGAGGTCACCCGCGTGCTAATGGTGGAGCGCAACAACGGTGAGCTCGGAGGGGCGGGGGAGCCAGGGCCGAGCCCCCAGGGGGCGCCGGAGTGCCGGGGTCACGGGGAGGAAATTACTGGCAGAGGAAACTGGCTGGAGGAAGGGGACCCCTGGGCGGACCGGGAGGGAGGTGGTCCCGAAGAGGATGGCGCTGAGTCGCTACCCCCAGGTGACAGTGAGCAAAGTGGACCTCTTCTAGAGGGAGGACGGTAGAGTCTCCTAGGGGAGAGGAGCACTTGGGAGAGTCAGAAAAAAAAAAAAAAAAAAGGCTTTCCCTCGGGGTGCATAAAGATGCAGGGCTCCTTGGGTTTGCTTTGCAGAAAGGAGAGCAGGGTTCGGGAGAATGGAAGGAGCCCAGCATTTGGGAAAGGGAGAGACAGTGGGGGAAAGCTGACCCCAGAGCTCCGGGTCGTGAGATGTTAAGATTCAAGGACGGAAGAAAACCAGGGGAAGAGACTCCCCAGAGGTGCCAAATAAAATCTAGAGTGGGCTCACTTCCAGAAGGCGCCAGGAGCACGCGGGATTTGGTCGGGGGCACGAATTCGTGCAGAGTGTCTGTGGGATTGCAGATGATGAATACACGAGAAAGGAAACCCTGCTTGTAGGGAGCAGGAGGCTAGCGGGAGAGGAGCGGAGACCACCCCCACCCCGGAGGGTGCCGAAAATGCGCCAGGAGGTGTCACGGGTGTTTTGGAAACGGACGTGAAAGAGAGCGCACGAGCAAGCGGGCGGACCCCAGCGGAAGAAGCGAGCAGGACCCTAGGAAATCTAGAATATCGGCTCCTGGGAACTGAGTTATAGAGAGGGGAGACGGGCGTGGGAAAGGTGTCCCCCGGAGGCGGGCGCAGCCGGGATACGGTGCCATCCAGGCGTGAGCGGCCAGCGCCTGGGCAAGGAGGGAGTGGCGGAGCCCCAGGAGTCGAGTCCTAGGAGAGAGGCTGGGTAGGGGGGAGGGCGACTCTGCGAGACCAAAGTGAGAAAACGAGTCGGTAGGGGTGAGAAAGCCCCACGTGGGTGCCACGCGCGCGGGGAGGAGCCTGCGCTTCCTGAAGGGGTTAAGAGGACCCCGCAGAAGTGGACGTTGGCAGTCTGCACCCCTAGAGTCCCAGTTCCTCTTCGGGGAGGCTGGGGAAACCCCAGCGTCCGGCCGCCTCGCCCTCCTCCCTTCCCTTTCCTTCCCGTGCCCGGGAGGGGGGAGGCGGGGATCGCGCGCGGAGCCTGGGGCGAGACGAGGCAGGTCCGATCCCCGCCCTTGCCGCTGCTGCGTAGTCTCCCGCCCTCCTCACCCCAGTAATGGGCAGGGCTACTCCTGGCCCTACCCGGTCGGCGCCCACGCGGGACCCAGGCGTCCTGCGTGGGCCAGGATCCTGGGGTGTGGTGGAAGCGCCCCCCTGGGTTTTACCTTTCCTCTTAAGAGGCGGGCTTATAGGTCTCTGGCTCTTTCCTGTGCCCAGTGGCTTCTCCAGCTGATTTGACACCCTTCCGCGGCTGCCACTTACTGTGACCGCTGTTGTAGCGTCTAACATTGATATTTCTGATCATCCCTGCGACTGTTTCTCCCCCAAGCCTATGTATATCTCTCCCGGCGTGTGCCTTCCTATCTCCGTGTCTCCTTTCCCACATACCCATTCATCTGTCACTCCATCTTTCCCTCTTGCCACATCCTCAATCCTTCCTGCCCTCATTTCTCTCCTCTATCTGTTACCCCCAGCCAGGATTCTGCCCTTCCCTTGAAGTTTGCTGAGTAACAGCCTCCACCAAGAATAGGGGCCCTGGGGAGGGAGTAGGGAAGGGGGCACAGGAAGGGGTGCCGTCTGTTCCACATCAGTGTCTCCGACATCTTCTCAACCCCACTTGGAGCCCAAAGCAGTTGTCCTAGTTGATCCAGGATTCCACGCTCTTACCTCTTCATCCCCACCACCCAGACTTCGGGAGTAGGACGTTGTCTTGTGAACCGGGCTCCCCGTCCTCCAGCTGCTCTTACCTAGGAACTCACTTCATTTCTAACTGGCTCGGGGACCGATGGAAGGGAGGATGAAACTAATTACACTGATAATAGCATGGCTGGGAAGTAGCACAGGTTAAGGGTTAAGACTGCAGTCTGTGCCAGGCATAGTGGCCCACAACTGTAATCCCAGCACTGGGGAGGTAGAGGCAGGAGGATCAGTTCAAGGCAATCTTTGGGTTACCCGATAGCCTGTCTTAAAACAAAACAGGCAATCCCTTGAACCAGATGGCTTGAATCCTCTTCATGGTATTGGGAGGCCTCAGTGTCCTCATCTTTGTAAAGTATTTTGAATGACATCTGTCAAATAGCACTCTTTACCTTTCACTTTGTTTACCCCCATCCCTTTTTAAATTTTTTTTATCTATTTATTTTTATTTTATACAATGTGAATGTTACGCCTGCATGTGTTAAGTGCGCCCATGTCGTGCAGTGCCAGAGGAGGACAGAAGAGGGCATCACATTCCCTAAAATTGGAATTATAAGACAGTTGTTAGCTGCCATGTGGGTGCTGGGATTTGAACCTAAGTCTTCTGCAAGAACAACCAGTGCTCTTAACCACTGGCTGGGCCATCCCTCCAGCCCCACTTTTTTTTTTTTTTTAAATATGGTCTCTCTTGCCAAGAGTGGTGGCACACACTTTTAATTCCAGCACTTGGGAGGCAGAGGCAGGCGGATCTTTGTGAGGTTGAGGCCAGCCTGGTCTACATAGTGAGTTCCAGGACAGCTGGGGCTACAGGAAGACCCTGTCTCCAAAACAAAAAATAAAAATAAGGTCTCAATATATAACTAGGTTTTCCTCCACTAAAGATTTTCCTGGCTCATCCTCCCAAGTGCTGGGATTACAAGCTAGTGTATGGCTAGCATACACATTATTGGTGTGTGCGTGTGTGTGTGTGTGTGTGTGTGTGTGTGTGTGTACAGACTCCGTGTCACGTGCTTAACTTGCATCCTATGCCTTATTTGTACCTATAATCCTGGAATTGGATGGTCTCTTAGAGTTGAAGAGAGGAATTCACTTCTCACAGGTTATACAGTACTTCAGTAAGGAAAACCTTGATTGGGAGTCTGGGAGTGTAATGTTGCTGCTGTTTTAGAGTAACAGGAAACTGGCTCAGTGGTAGAGCACTTGCCTAGACTCCACTAATAGAAGTCTGGAGGTATGGCTCAGTCTTAGAGGTCTAGCCTGGAATCTGTCAGTGGCACCCTCTGACCTCCATGGGCATTGCATGACATGGGTGCTCTTACACACATGCAGGCAATACACTTATACACATAAACACAATGAATAAAATATTAA